TTTAAAAAAATTGTTGGTGGCTGGGGCACTTGTACCAACCCCCCGGCCACACACATACACCCAGAATTTCTGCATTTATACATACATATTTTTATATATATATCTCTATCTATATCTTTATATATTTGTTTTCTGCAACCAAACCTGAGTCTTTTAAAGCAGAAAAAAGTGACATTTGAGGAACCTGGAGCTTTTCAAAGACTTTGCTGAAAATCCTAGAAAATTTCAAGGAAGGGGTGGAGAGAGGTCGGAGGTGGCCAAAAGCCTCAGCTCTGGGTCCAAAAGCAACTTTTTCCTGTAAAAAAAAAAAAAAAAAAGAAAAGAAACCAGGCTGCTGGAAACGTGCAGCGCTGCTGCCTGCCCGGCAGTACGGGGATGGGAATGCACTTTTCCGGGCGGGATGCTTTTGGACCTGACGTCAGCTCTGCCTTACAGGTACCGCCATGGATGCATGGAGCCAGGGGGACGCCCTGAGCCCTGTGGGGACACCCTGAGCCCTGTGGGGACCTGCCACCCCGCCTGCCAGTCCTGCTCCTGGGGCGCAGGGGCTGGCACAGCCCTGGGCTAGCAGAGTGGCCAGGATGAAGGTGCTGAGCCGCAGCGCAGAGCCAGGTGGGTCATCACCCCGAGGACCACGCAGCAGGTGCCCTGGCAGGTAACCTCCATTTCTCCCTTCTCCCTGAGCTCGCTTGTGCGGTTTTTTTCCATTGCATGGCCAAAGCTGCTTGTAAGGCATCGCCTGGCCCACAGCGGGCTCCGAGGGTCCGTCGTGAGCCCTGTGGCAGCCGGGCTGCAGGAGAAGGCAGGCTGCAACGCTGGCTGCAAAGGCAGGGAGAATTCTGACCCCAGCTGAGCTTGCAAGGGCAGGCGCAGGATGCTTCGTCCCTCTGCCAGTCCTGGCCCATCTGTGTGCTGCACGTCGCATTGGCCCGTGCCTCAGTTTCCCCACATCAGGGTGCAGCAATATCGCCCCTTTCCTCTGCCTGCCACAAGGGCGGTGGAGCTGCGGACGGGGCAGGCTCTCCCTCTCCAGTCCCCGAGCCCGCAGCCGGGGAGGGTCGGTGTGGGCAGTGGCCGGGGCGGTGGGGCCGGGGCTGTGTGGGTGGCCGAACTGCGCCGGGCCAGGGATGCTGCGTCCCCGGGGCGGGGGACAGCGGGGGCTGAGCACACCGGGGGAGTGTGCTGGGAAAAAAAATTGCTGGCAGCGGTCAGGTGTTGCTCTTGCTCATAGAGCGGCATCCCAGGGCTGGCCCCAGCCCGGGCACATCCAGGCTCCAGCCCCCCCGGCCCCAGCGCGGTGCGGGGTGTCAGGGCTCTGCGGGGTTTCATCCCAGTCTGCAGGCTGGGAACTGCCCTGCTCGGCCTCTCTGGGATCCAGGCCTCTCAAAATCCTGTTATATCTGGCACTGAAATCTCTCTCTGCCCTTCCCAGGTGCTGAGGGCAGGGCAGGGCCCTCTGTGACCTCCAGGAGGGGATGCACGGATGGAGGGATGTGGGGACACAGGGATGCAGGGATGGAGAGGCAAAGGGATGCAGGGATGAAGAGGGGAAGGGATGTAGGGGCAAGGGGATGCAGGGATGGAGAAGGGAAGGGATGCAGGGATGTAGGGGCGAAGGGATGCAGGAGTGGAGGGATGTGGGGATGCAGGGGCGAAGAGATGTGGGGATGGAGAAGGGCAGGGATGGAGGGATGTGGGGACATAGGGATGCAGGGATGGAGGGATGTGGGGATGCAGAGATGCAGGGATGGAGAAAGGAAGGGATGCAGGGACGTAGGGGAGAAGGGAGGCAGGGATGGAGAGGAACATGGATTCAGGGATACAGGGGCGGAGGGATGGAGGGATGGAGAAGGGAAGGGATGCAGGGGTGTGGGGACACGGGATCAGATGCGGCTCCATCGGGCGCCGGAGCCCCCGCTCCCCAGCAGCGCCCGGACGGCGGTGCCGGGAGGTGGCAGCAGCGGCC